CTGTTGTTAAAACTGCATTCTCATGGATGCTGACATGGAAGAAAGATGCTGCTTTCTTCTGTACAAAGAAGTTCTCTATTTGTGTGAAGTTTCACACTGTTCAGCCTCATACCATTTAGGTTTTCTGTGTAGGTTTTGTTTGTATTCCTTTCGTAAGTGTTCAGCAGGATGTGTTTGAAATTGTCTCAGGTTGAAGGTTATTATATAATCATAGAATGGTTTGGGTTGGAAGGAACCTTAAAGAACATCTAGTTCCAACTCCTCTGCCACTGGGCCGGGATGCCACCCTCTTGATCAGGTTGCTCAGAGCCCTGTCCAACCTGGCCTTGAACACTTCCAGGGACAGGACAGGGCTTGCAAGAAGCAGCCACGGTTGACAAGAGAGGTTCTCCTGCTGCAGGGATAAGGACCAGTGGAAAAAGGTCCTTTGCAAGCATCTGCTATGGAATGAATTTTCAGGTAGAGTTTTGAACTTGAAATTATCAAACATGCTTTGGGTAGGCATCTTCCACCAAAATGTCCCACAGCAGAAGACAGGAAAAAACCCAAGTCTGTGATAAGCTTTGGTATCAGACCAGCTCAGTCAGCCTTGCCAGGAGTTACTGGGCCATTTCCAGGACTTGTGACATTTGAGCTGCTTCTGAAAGCACTAGACCATAGGGTCCCTGTGATGTGGTGAGATGCTTCCTTTTCACTAGAAGTGAATTTCTGACTCTTACAGTGGAAGAGGCACCATTAAAAGCATAGCTCTAGATGCCTCGAGAACACTGCAATTAGAAGTTAAACAAAAGTTATTTTGTATTTATTTTATATACATGTATATAAATATACATATATACAAAATTATGTCTGGTGGTATATACAAATTACATGATTTCCAGTCAATCTTGTGATTTTTGTGTGTACTTGCTTCATGATTTTCAAGTATGAGGGGCTAAAATACAGTCTCTAACAAACTTCCTTTGCTTCACTGCAGACAGCTCCTGAATAAAGTAAGTTAACTGTCCTCAGGATATTCCCAGCTTTCTTCTAAAGGAGAGAAGAATTCATGTACAGACTGTTTACTATGCATATCTTCTTTAACCACTACTTGTTTAGTGAGCTGATCCTTCTCTTAATATTTTAAAGTATTTTCCTTTTGATACAAACATCATCGTGTAGATTTACTAGATTATAGTTTTCAGAATCCTTTAAAACATTGATGCCATGTTTGCTGTTCTTTCATTTTTGCCACTCCCCACTGTTTTTGAGAACTGACTGTGTGTCCAGTAAATTCATCCACTACATAAGTTAACACTTTCAGATGTGTACTATCTATCCTTGCCTGCAGCTCATTAAAGAGTGTATTTATTTTTAAAGAAGGTTGTTATCATCTCAGAATGTTCAAACTTTTCTTTATTTTTCTTGTCAGAGGATTTCTTTAGTTAGTGTTGGCATAAACTCTTACAATATTTTCCTCATTTGGAGACAGACTGTGGTGCTCTTTTTAGTTTTATCACATAACATTTTCACACTGAGAACTCCCATTGATTATGCAGGATTATTAAAGGAACATAATACTAGTTGAAATGGTGGAAATAGCTCTTTCATGCAAGTATTTCTTTCTGCAAGAAACAGAAGTTCTTGAAAGTTGCAAAAGTTTTGCTGTAGTTCTACAATCAGTTATGGAGACTTACGCAGGAATGTCAGATTGAAGATCTCTAGGCTGTATAAAGTGTGATAGAAATGAGATAATCATGCTAGTTTCTAAATCATTCTTTTAAGATTATTTTACCAGGATGAAAATCCATTTTGTTTTCTTTTGACACATCTATCTGTTGATTCTTAGCCTGTCGTTCACCTCTGACAGCGAACGTACATTAGTAATTTCCTTTGATTCCAGTCAATTTAACATCTAGGACTTCATCTATCAATTTGCTCTTTCAATCTTATCACCTAAACTTTGGTAGAGAAAGAAAATTCTGATGCATAGAAGATTTCAGAATTTTGGAATCCAGTTTTGTTCCAATTTTGAGCACAAGCCTATCCCTGCATCACATCCCAGGCCTGTCTGTCTCGTAGGCAGCAGACCCTGGAAACCTGAGGCCTTTGACTTCAGGATAGTTGCCAGGCAGTTTTGCTGCAGTGTTGTGAAAATTGAATTGCTTTTACAGTCTGTTTGGATTTCAACAAATTGACTTTCACTTATGGAAAATGTTCTTTTGGAGGATTTTCTGCCTATTCTATTAATACTGCAAGGGAAAATAGAAAATGAAACAAAAGGAAATGTTTTAAGTCTCTGATGAGTGAAAGCATTTGATTTCATGACATCACTTCTGCACAGACTTTCCTTAAGATACACATGCACTGGCAGAAAATGTGGCCCACTGGTTTTCATGAGCTGTTGTGAAAATATTTGTTAATGACTAAAAATTGTAGGAGCAAAATTGATTTAGTCTAGCCTGACTCATTGCTACATTTTTACTCTTCCTCTATGACCTTAAACTGCATATGACTTTCTGTAGAATTAATGCTTAACTGAGGAAAAATTGAGTGAATACCTCAGTATTTGGTATGTTTATAGCATACCTTAATAAAATGCCCAGCTGTTAGGTGATTGATGAATAGCTTGGAGAATGGGTTATTAATGAGTTGCATTTGGTTTTGCACCCCACTTAACCAAGACAGAGATTAAGAGAGAGCAGGCTATAATAAAACATCAGGCTAACAGAATTCCTCTTGTGAAACTAAAATCAGGGTAGCAGAGAAGTGGGAGTAAGACCTGAGAGCTGTCAGCCACCCTTTCTTTGCTGAGACCTCTCATACAGCCCCCTCAGTGCTCTGATGGAGCATCAGGGCTGATTTGGGAAGATTTTAAATCCTCCTGGACGCACACTGGGCAGGTGTTGCTCATCTCCAGTTGGGGCTAAGGAGAAACAGGCATAAAGGGAAAGGAGATTCTGGGTTTTACCCCACATCTTTCTGATCTTGTGGCATTTTGATTTTTTAAACTACCTGGGAACACCTGATGTGTTATGGATCATTGGGAGTCAACTGAGTGAGATCAGTAGACAAGGGAGTCCTGCTGGCAGTGAATAGGAGCGTGTGGGGGCTGGCAGGGCCTCAGAGGGTGGATTGTACTATGGGGCGTTGCAAGCATGTGCAGTGCCTTCCATCACCCACCGTGGTGGTTGTTAGCGATCATGGTGTTGTTTACATGGAGCCCCAAGGGTGTGAGGTGCAACAAATATAACATCCCAGAGACCTCAAGGGGAATCTACTGGAGAGTGAAGTGCTGAGGAAGGGGGGAGAGAGAGTAGGAGAGGGAAAGAGAAACAAGCCAGAAGCCACAAAAATGACATACAAAAAAAAAATTGCTTTTATTTCTCATGTGCACAAAAAGAGAAAAGAAAATGGTCAAACAGAACTGAAGTGATGAGGAAAAGCCAAGAGGGGCTGCAGCAGCCTAGAATGGATGTGACCCTGCACCTGGCACTGGCCCCCTCCCCTCCACGGTCTCATGTCTAGCTTAGCCTGGAGATCATCAGCAGAGCTGCTCTACGGTTAGATTTGTCATCAGTTCTGTAATTGTCAGTTTGGTCCCTCCTTCCTGCTTTGCAAGTTTGCCACTGTCCTGGGCCCAGTCAAGGAAGCACACTGTGGTATTTGTGGGTCCCTCGGAAACCCTCACTCTGTCAGTGCCAAAGGGGGCAGCTCAGCTACGATTCTTATTTCTTTGCCCAGAGGGGTGCTTTTCCTTAGGGACAAAAGGGTGGTTTTTTTCCAACAGTTCAGCAAACTAAAAATTCCTTTAGGAAAATGTTAATATGCATATATAAGTATATACTCAAGAGAAGAAAGAGGTGCAGGGTTTCTTTGTTTTCCTTTTCTTGTTTGTTTAACGTCCTCACATTCATGTTGAGATTAATTCTGCAGTTGTACTCTGAGGTTGATTCATCGCTACCCGATGGGTCAGAAAGCATGCAAACTTCTGTTACCACAGCAGGGCTCATTGCCACCAACCCTCCCCAACAGATTTACAGGCCACACCAGTGTCAGCTTTAATGCATCCACCTCATGCAACCCCTTCCTGTGTCTTGCCCCACATCCTGTTGGGCCAAAAGGACATGGGAGCTTCAGAGAACAGGACTCAAAAGTGCTGCCAGTTTTAAATACCATGGTCCCTGTTGCCAAGCATGGCATTCGAGAACTCACAAGATTCTTCCCCCATGATCAAGTTGAGACAGAAGGAGATCCAGGTTCACGTTTCTGCTTGGTCCATTAGATAAAGCAAACATAGCAGCAAAACTAAGAATGATAGGAGAAGGAGGAAGTGAAGGGAGAGCTAAGAAGAATAATAAAGAAACAAAGGATGAGTTGTGAAAAAAAGGAAAATAGAGAAATGTAATGGAAACATTAATTATTATTCACAATAATACTTAACAGTTTGATAGAATTTTCTATCCAGAATCTCAAAGCACTGAGGCAGTGCTAATTGATTCAGCTGCGTAATCCCCCTGTGAACTAGAAACTATTGTTATTCCCATTTTACAGAGGGTTGGAACTGAGGTAGAGGGGGAAATTGGATTTGACAAAGGTTTTCTAGAGCGATAGAGAGAACTGGGGAGTTTGAGGTCCCAGATACCCGCTCCCATATAGATAATGCTGTTCCCTCCCTGGATAGAAAAGTGCATTGGGAATGAGAAATAATAAAAGAGAGGGATAGAAATTGAATGGAAAGAGGGTGTGAGAAAGAAATATGGGAAAGGTAAGACAGCAGAATTGAGGAGAGGTTTGAGTCAGACTTCACTGGATTTTGCATAATGATTTCTTCCTCCAATCCTTTTTCATTTTTTTCCTGTAAAATTTTTTAAAGGAAAATAAAAATAAAAGAAAAAAAATTCCACCTATACAGAAGCAACTGTTGGCCTGTTGGGGAAAGGGGTCCTTCCAAGGTTTGGCTGTTCCCTCAGGTTCTGAATTTGTGCTGTGCTTTATTGAACACATCGTTTTGTTTTCAGTGAGCACAACGAGACTTGCACAGTACACACAGCGTGTTCCTTATCTACAGGATGAGACGAGGCTGTTTTAATAACTACCATGATGAAGATGGAGATGAACTTATATACAAGAGGAATTGCCTTCACATTACACACATTATCTTCCTACAAAGCAGCAATTGTTTTTTGCAAATAACATAATATTAAATAATTGGTAGAATTTTTGCGTTTCCTGCATAGTCCAGTCTAATGGAATCTATATGAATATTGATGGTTTTCTTCTGCATAATATCACCACATAAATCCCCACGTCAGCTACTAGACTTGGGCTATAATACTGCTTTACAATGCATCCACCGACTGTAAATCAAAACAACCAACACAAGAAACTCTTTGGCAAATGTAATTCAGTACATTCGCATGAGGGTCTACAGATGGTGGTGGAAGAGGATTAGGCTGCCCAGTTTTTTTGCATAATTCTGCTTTCCTTTTAATTTTTCAAGTCAAACTACATGCTGTACTTATGAACTTTCCAAACCAATCCAATGCCTGGTGGAAATCCTCTTTCATCAGTGGAGTTAAACCAACAACAGATTTGGCCCTCCAAGGGTCAAATGAAGCCAGCCATGAGTGAGCCAACTAAATCCTGCTTTCAGACCCTAGCTCATGTCTCAAGTTTAGCAAAACACCATTATAAAAATAAGCATTTCTGAGCTGCTAGCTTTTCTCAAGCTGGCCCCTGGGCTGCAGGTGGCCAAGTGGGAGGTGTGAGAGTCTCTTTTTTTTAGTCTCCTCAGGACCTTCTCCTTGTTGGTCCTGGGATTTATTGCCTCTGCCCTGACCACCTGCTGAGTGAATCTGGGTGGTGCACAAATAGAGCAAAGGTTGTACTGAGAGACTAAAAGTGAGACACTACTAACAGGGTTCAGCATCTATCTGATGTCTGTGAAGGAAAACGGGAAGAGTGGTGAAAGTATATTTTTAGAAATTGCACAGAATTTTCTTCTCTCAAAGAATAAGATGGGATAACAGGCCAAATTCTGGTCTCAGTGATAGTGTAATAACTCTGCTATTTGCAGCAGGTTACTCAGAGGTAAGATGTGCAGAATGACACTTTTAACAGATCAGGAATAACCTCTTTGATTTTATTCTGCATAGGAACAGATTTTAGCTCTATATCTTCTATGTAAACATCCCCCCAAATTCCCTTATCATTTGGGCACCCCGTTAAAGAAGACACGGACATATAATCAGCTAAATCCATGCAAAGGCTAAAAGAGTGAGGTGAAAGGGGCCTTTGGGATCAACACAGCTGTTTACTGATGGTGGATTTCATACATACAAGTTTAACTTGGAGACAGAATAGAGTCCACTACCACATCTCCTCAGAGGCTTTGAACTTTGGATTTTATACATGATGTTGGCTGTACAGATTGCTCCACTGTTCATTTCTATGCCCTTTGGGGGTTTTATTCTCAATCCTGTCTTTGTCCACGGACAATAGCCCATGAGTTTTATCTGAAACCTCTCTAAAACAACAAGGATCTACTTTGGCAGACTTGATGCCCTGGGGGCAGGCTAGAGCTGCCTTCATGTTTTCTTTGAGTAATTTTTTAGGAAGTGTCAGTGCAAGGAACAGTTTATGAGTTTGCTGACAATACAGAAGTAATAAGCATTTCTATTGACGGTTAGCCTTTTGCAGAACAGTGTTTGTCAGTCACTTGGGAAACAAAAAGAGCAGAGAATCCCTAGAGAATCATCAGGTGAGCATTTGGGATAAGGGGTAAATATTAGGATGCACAATATAGGATTGAACATGAAAAGATGGGGCTGTATGTTGGAACTGGCTGGTAGGATGCAGGCATATGTATTTGAGTGGGGCCTATAAATTACTAGGTGTATGAGCAGATGGACTGGGAATCAAAGAGGGGCCCATATAGCAGGGCTATAGTGATTAGGAAATTAGGTGTTGGGCACAGATAATGAGGCTGTTGTCACCGGCAGCAGAGAATGGGTGTTGGGCATATCTAAAATTGCAAAAGTTGGGATGTGGGTGAACTGAAGTCGTCATGAGTAGAGGTTAAGGTAAAAGGACTGAAGGCTAAGGGCTAGGGAACCAAGCAATAATCCCAGCCAATCCTGAATTTGTCCATCTCAGTCTCAGCTGTCCAGAGGGCAATCAGATGGGCCCAGATGAAGCCCCACACTTTCCACCACACAGCGCAGTTAGAGCGCAGCTGGGCTTGTTTTCTTTGTTTGCCAACCAGTGACATGGAAAACGTTTGTTGACTCAGAGTGCTTTTTTTGTCGACTGATGTGTTTGGTAACTTTGTCAGATGTGACTTGTCCACACTGCTCCCCAGAGACAGGATTTTGGGAAAGGGGGAGGAGGAGGAGGCTCCCGGGTGGAGCTGGCATCCAATCCTCTCCAATACCACCATCCCACTGTAGTGCAAAACAGAAAGGAAACAAAACCCTAGAGTGAAAGAGGAGCATCAAACGTCAGAGGAACTTGTCTGCCATTCAGGTGGTGGGGAGGGATGGGACTTGGAGTTTTATTTTTGTAGGGTTTTTAATTATTATTTTGGTTTTTTTGTTAGTTTTGTTCACTTGGGTTTTTTAGAAAATTGGGGATTTTTTTGTTCCTTTTTACAGACCTTCATGACAAAGCATAAAAACACAGTTATATTTATATATCTATTTATATATTTCTTCATTTCGTCGGTTTGTTTGTAAATGTTGCTCCATCCTCCTGTCTGAGCTGATTGTGTGTCACAGAAATTGTGGGTGTATGTGTGAGGTTCCTCCCAATTCTGGCCTGCAAAGTCACCACCCGTGAGGTGCAGCCAACTCTGGGGGAATCCGTGCTGGAGAGTGGGGATGAGGTGCACAGAGAACCCCTCATGGGGTGCAGATCATTACTTGGTCCTTTCTTCGTTGCCAGATGGGCCAGGGCTCTGTACTGCCATCTCTGCTCTAGCCAGACTGTTCCCTCTGTCCTGGGAACAGGGTGACCGTCACAGGTTACACACATCAAGAGTCCACCACAGAAGAGTATATCTTTGGGGAACAGTGTTTCATGAGCGGCATTCTCCCCTGTTTCCCTGGCCCTTACCGCTCCCAGAAAGGGGTCCTGTAAGGCAATGGTTGCCAGCTGCATTGCTTCCCAGTCCCCCTGGAGTTCTGGAAGCCGAGTGGACTTCATGTGGCTGAGCTTTACCCAGGGGCATTGGAGGGCTCCCACAGGAGAAGCCACTTGGCCGCAGGCTGTTCCCGGCGTGGGGGAAGTGGTCGGGGCGGAGGGCAGGGGGAGGGAGGGGGTCTCAGTCTCATGTGGTGAGCGCTTGGTCCGGCGCCTTCATGGCGAAGAGGAAGGAACTGGACTGTGGGGAGGAACGGAGAAGGTCTCTTCACCCTTCCCAGGGATGAGGGAGGTGATCAGACAGGTACAATGTGGAGGCCTAAGCTGTCGCCCTGCAGTTTCATGTGGTTTCCATGGTAACTAGTGGCGGTCATAGGCAGCGGCAGCAGTGGGAGGTGCGGAGCCCCGGGATGTGGCACTATAATAATAAGGGGAACCTGAAAGTTAACACAGGAGAAGAATGGACTGGTTGAAAGGACAAACAGTAAACAAAAAAAACCAAACCAAAACAAAAAACACAAACAATCAAACTAAGAAAAGAAATACAGGAGAACAGAAAAGAAAAGGAAAGGTAGGAAGAAAGAAAAGCAAAAGAAACCAAAAGAACGAATTTGGGGACTGAGCTCCTAGAGGGATTAGGGAAAGGCAATCAGTGGAAGCCAGCTGAGGGTTGCATTTCAGTGGATAGATGCTACTGTGGCCTCTGGATCTGACAGCCCTCTATGGGAAGGAGATCCTTTTGCTTCTTCTGACCATCAGTAACTAAGCCCATGAACTTTTGTGCTGGTTTGGGCTGAGGTAGGGTTAGTTTTCTTCACAGTGGCTGGTATGGGATTGTGTTTTGGATTTGTGCTGAACACAGGGTTGACAATAGACATGTTTTCGTTATTGCTGAGCAGGGCTTACACAGAGCCACGGCCTTTTTTTCTTCTCGTACTGCCAAGCTGGCAAGGAACCTGGGGATACGTGGGAGGCTGAGAGGAGACACAGCTAGAACAGATGACCCAAACTGGCCAGAGGAATATCCCATACCGTATGGTGTCATGCTTGGTATTTAAAGGGGGGATAAGAAGGAAGAAGTGGGGACGTTTGGAGTGATGGTATTTGTCTTCCCAGCCATTACATGTGATGGGGCCCTGCGCTCCTGGAGATGGGTGAACACCTGCCTGCCCATGGGAAGCAGTGAATTAATTTCTTATTTTGCTTTGCTTGCATGTGTGGCTTTTGCTTTCCCTATTAAACTGTGTTTATCTCAACCCACAGCTAGTTTTCTAGCTTTTATCTTTCTGATTCTCTCCTCGATCCTGTTGGTGGGGGAGTGAATGAGCGGCTGCATGGGGCTTGGCTAATGCCTGGGGTTAAACCACAACAACATCGAAGCACAAATACGTCACACCTGATCTGTAGCCACAAGGAAAGTGTCAGGGCCAGATGTTCTGAGCATACCTGACAAAGTATAATAGGTCACTCTTATAACCAGGAGGAGAGAAATGAAACAAAATTACAGTGTTTTACTGCTTGGAATTTGGGTCACATTTGAGGTGAAATCTCTCTAGATGGTTATCGAATGTGTGTTAAATAGTGATTGATTATTAAGATCACATTTACTGAGGTTTAACAACACTGGAATAAAATGTGCATCTATTATCCAGTTGTTAAACCTCAGTAAATATGTAGATAACAATCACAACTGATTTATTTTACATATAATAAATATCTTCTTATTCCCTTGCAAAGAGGTGGTGTATTAGAAGATAGTCTCATAGGATTTTTTTTTCTCCTCTGAAAAAACCCCCTGATTATTTCTGGGCATATTAGTCACTGGAGATGGATATATATCACTGCAAGACAACTCTTCTGGCTATTGTAAACCTAATGATGCAGCCTGTCTCCCACTCTGGACACTGTTCTAACTGGTTGAATAGGGAGAACTTCTATGGGATTTACAGATCCCCAGGAATTGAGTCTGGGTTTAGCTGAGGAG